TGTTATTATTTTATGCTGAAATGTCCAACACCAAATGCTAATGAAGACTATCATTTGTGGTCAAAAGCTCTGGCAAAAGATTTTAAATGGTTAAAAATAAAAATAAAAACAGAAATATTAACAATAACACTTAATTACACACGCAAACTGTGACAAAAATGGCTATTTACAAAATTATTATTGTTATTGTCAGGTCATTTAGGTGACAGTGCAAGTAGAAGAATAAAAGGTATTCTACTCCGAGCCTCAGCCAATCAGAGCCTCAGCCAATCAGAGCCGGAGAATCAGTCAAAGCAGGAAGTCGTCACTGCTGGCAAAGCACTCTTCCCGCGAAGATTGAGAACGCCTCTGAAGTGAATTACTGTTTTTCAAGGTATGTCTCTTTATTTGTTGACATGCTTACATTGCTAGACTAACAAGTGCTTAACAAAGTAGTCTTGCTATTTAAGACAGAGCGTGCTGCTGCTAAAGAGCCCGGTGACAGCGTGGAGAGACAGTAGTACCAAATTCCATTCGTAAATTATGACACATTAGTTTCTCCTTGTGTATTGCAAATATGAACAGATCTTGAATGCAAATTACGATCATTATCAAATAGCTACGAGTCACTTTGTTATTCGGCATACAAATCATCCACTTATATGAATGTATTAGTTTATATAGTAAAGATTCAGGCTATATTGTATACGCATTTCTTAAGTAGAAGTAGTATTGGTGTCACACACAGTGAGATCATAGTATTCACGATTAATAGATTGGAGTTTGGCGTAGAAAGTGTCATCTTGCAATGTCAGTGCATTTAGTGGACATATTCCTACAATATAAGATTTCAATTTACATGAGATAAAATACAGTGAGGAAATAGTTAATTGTGCAGAAAGTAACACAACAGCAGAGGGAGCAATTCTGATATAATTACTCTCATATTATGGTGCTGCTTAATGCAATAAAACCACACTAAAGTAGATTGTATTTTTTGGGATGTCTTATTTAGGACCGTTGGAAGTCCCTGAAGCGCATTTCCCCCACAAATGTCATGCATCTTAACCAATGATCTCCACTTTTTGCAGTTTATAATCTCAGCACCATGAGCAAGAGGAAGGCGAAAGATGCTCCTTTGCCAGTAGGAGAATGCATTTCACAGGTTTGTATCGGCCAATCATCTTCTAACTTGTTTATGGTGGTGTGTCCCTGTAATGACGTCTATATTTATCTACATTTATCTGCAGGTTCAGGACATTTTAAGGAAGCGGCTTTGCCATCAGCAGCTTCCTGACACACCGGAGGGAGTGGAGGCTCAACACAAGTAGGTTTACTTCAATAATAGTCTAACACTTTTTATAATTTCTATTTTATCTATAAAAATCTACCTGTAATTTGCATTTAAATTGTTAAACTAAAAAGTACTCAAAAGTAAAACTGTAGTAGGTTTGTCATCTGGGAAAAAGAGATGATTCTCTGTGACCCAGTTGAGTCTTTACCTGGCTAACGGTGCTGTCCCAGTTCAAAAGTGTGAAAAGCTCAATTTCCCAGCTGACTTGAACACAACACGAGTACATTCATTCCTTTATACTCATTAGATTTAGGCTGTTTCTGCAGGTAGAAAGGAAAAGAGAGATGACACATTGTCTTTTACTATATAATTCTTTTTTTCTACTACCAAAGAAGCATTGTGGGTATTGTAGTTAAAACACTGTATTTTCAGACACCTCCTGGGGCTGCTGAAGCGCACGGCCATCCACGGGGAGAGTAACTCGGTGCTGATTGTCGGCCCCAGAGGATCAGGAAAAACAATGGTGAGCGTCTGCAGCCAGAAGCCTGAAATGGGCTTATGGGTAAAAAGAAATGTCAGAGAAGAAGATGGATTGTGTTGGAGGTGTGTTTAAATCCTGGGAGGGTTGTTTTGTCTCATGGTGTGTTTGTGTTTTTGTGTCTGCAGCTGCTGAAGTGTGTGCTGAGAGACCTGCTAGAGGAAAAAGAAGTAGAAAAAAATCTGCTGCAGGTTCATCTCAATGGTACAGACTCTGATACCTCACCAAACACAATGTTATCGATGAGATAATGTAAATATGTAGAACATTTGTTATTGCTGGATTAGCCTTTTCTATGTCCATTTGACCAGGGTTAATGCATCAACCAGATAATAAACCATTATTACTTGCTAAAAATGTCTCCGAGTACACATCACCAGATACATTTCTCGCCTGTTTGCTGAAGGTCTCCTGCAGACTGATGACAGAATAGCGCTTCAGGAAATGACGCGGCAGCTCCACCTTGAAAACGTTGTCGGGGACAAAGTGTTTGTAAGTATCTGGATTGAGTTGTATCCATATTTTGCCATTAATAATGCTAAAAAAGCTGCTCTAAATACCTGCTTCTTAATTCCAGGGAAGTTTCGCTGAGAATCTGTGTTTCTTGCTGGAGGCATTGAAGAAAGGTAAGAAAATGCAACACTAATAACGCACTTTTGGATTGAACTGCCTACATTTAAGGCCACCTGCTTATTTCCTCCAGGTGATCGCAGCAGCAGCCGCCCGGTGTTGTTCGTCCTGGATGAGTTTGATTTGTTCGCCCACCACAAGAACCAGACGCTGCTCTACAACCTGTTCGACGTCTCTCAGTCTGCCCAGGCCCCCGTCGCTGTGGTGGGCGTCACCTGCAGACTGGTGAGCCTCACTTCATCCTCCTCACCGCACAGAAATCATACTGGCGGTTTGATTTGAAACCTTTTTGTCGCGGTGCATCATTTCCATTCCAGGATGTTCTGGAGCTGCTGGAGAAGCGGGTGAAGTCGCGGTTTTCTCACCGTCAGATCCACCTGCTGAGCAACCCCACCTTTAGTCAGTACCTAGAGCGGGTACAAACACAACTCAGCCTGCAGGACGACTTCCCCGACGAGACGTTCGCTCAGGACTGGAACGCCAGCGTCAAGGTGGAGCAAGGGAACAAACATGTTGAATTCAAAATGTGTGGATCACGCTAAACAGTTTGTTCTTTTTATTCAGACTCTGTGTGAAGACAAATCAGTGGAGGATGCTTTACAGAGGCACTACAACTCCAGCAAGAACTTCCGTTCAAACCACATGTTGCTGGTAAAACACACTAATACTACATTTTAGATATGTTTTGTACACCATTCTGCAAAGTACCTTACTCTACTTCTAACATTTATGGTGTTAAATCCCTAATAGTTACCCTTAACATTTTATAAATCCAGGAAAGAAGTATATCATGTTCTTTTAGACATGAGCAATTTGTGAACCCTTGATTTGAATAGTTACAAACTACATTTGGTTAAAGGAAAAACCTGTTTTATGTGCAGATGTTGTGCCTGAGTCGTGTGTCTGTAGCCAAACCTGCCATCAAACCTGCAGACCTCCTGGAGGCCAGCAGGATGTGTTTAATCGACGCCCAGGCCAATATGCTCCACGGTAAAATGAATGAATCACAAAAATGAGGTCTTTGACACTTCAACTTTTCAATTAGTTCACACTTGTTGTATTTTCTCTTGTCTTTAGGTCTGTCTATTTTGGAGTTGTGTCTGATCATCGCCATGAAACACCTCAACGACGTCTACGAAGGAGAGCCGTTCAATCTGCAAATGGTCCACAACGGTAAATAAATACTCTAGTTTTTGTAATAAGAAAAACACTGGATGGAGCTGAACATTGATTGATAAACTCTCCTGTTTTTTTAGAGTTTAAGAAGTTCCTGCAGAGAAAGTCCAACTCCATGTACAACTTTGAGCAGCCTGTCATCATGAAGGTGAGAATAAAAACATTTTAAGTCCTAGAGAAACAGACAATATTAAAATCTTTGTATATAAAAACAAACTACTTTTATTCACCGACACTCCCCCGCTCGTCCTCAGGCCTTCGAGCACCTGCAGCAGCTGGAGATGATCCGGCCGGTGGACAGCTCCTCGGTCAAAACTCAGAGGGAGTACCAGCTGATGAGACTCATGCTGGACAACACTCAGGTCATGGAGGCCCTGCAGAAATACCCACAATGCCCCACTGACGTCAAGCAGTGGGCCATGTCGGCGTACGGCTAGGATTTCTAAATCCATTTGGACTTTATGTACCCAGAACTGTTTGAGAAAGTGTGAAATAAACCTCACCGTGTGCAGAAGGTACAAACAAATGAGGAAGATCTCTTGTCAAATGGAAGCATTGCAGCTCAGACTAAGGACCACTTAAAACTGTATAGTTTTTCTAACTGTTAAAATAATTGTATGTTGGGATTTTTTTGTCACTGTAATTCACCCAAAAAGCAACAAATAAAACACATCTCACTAGATTTGGTAATGAAAGGATTCTGAAATTGATATTATTGAAAAATAAATACACATCTCAATAAAATAAGTAAAACGAGACTTTTGTTTTCTAATTTGACCATATTTCAGCTTGAATTCCACTTTAAAAAGGAGGAAGTTCATGCTGGAGTCAGCACTTCATCAGCTCAATGTTGCCATCTAGTGGTGGATTTCTGCAACAACAGCAGGAAGGACAAAGACCCTCATTAGATGGAAGAACGCAGTAATCTGGCCTGAATCTTGTTCTAGGAGAAACATTTAATATTCATATATTGGTTCAATCATGTTGGATAATGCAGTGATTTTCTTTTTATATACCTGAGAAAAACACGCTGCACATACTGTACATATATGCCGTTAGCGGGTCTATTTATAACACCGAGGTACCATAAAAATGTTTAGGACTTTGTTGAGGGGTGTCCACCTTAAGTCCTGCAAAGAAGATGCAACAATAAATTAAATCTTGCATTTTTAATAAAGTATAATTACTTACTTCAATTAATTTGATTGACAGAGTGTCAGTTATAATAATTCCATTATCTATTAACTGAAGGAGACATTTTGATCATCTCGCTCATGGACACCTATTTGAAGAACAAACAAATTAGTGTATTACAATGCATTTTTGTTATGTAGCCGGCTTGAATACTCAATCTGTTAGTAAGACAAAAGAAAAACATCATAGTCACAATCTAAAAACACATTTATTTACATCACGTGGATCACTTCAGCTGATAAAAACCATTAGCCGAGAGTTGCAACGCTGATCAGGGATCGATTACATCTCCTCTGTGATATTGCATTCAGGGTTTCTTAAGGTTTATTCTGCTTTAATACTTTGCGAAGGGAATTGTCTTTTCTCTGATCCTCCCATGACCCTTCACTGGGAGCTATGAGGTCAGGACCACAACCTATGGAGAAAAAGAATGTCCTTTCTCCATGTGGTATATTTGTGTTGTACTAACTCCTTCCAGGTGTTAGTGTCATGTTCTATGTTCACATCCTTTTGTAAGTAACATACAATGTAATGTCACATGAATCCGGAGTAAGAAACAACACATTTTCAGATTATTTTGTCACAACCCACTTTCATTTTTGGGTCCCTAAAGAATTATATTTATGAGTATTCTAAAACCAGAAACCCGATGAGCATCAATATCATTAGAGCCTGTGTTGGCAGATCCTGGACCAGCACTGCAACTCGAGGGCCTTGAGAAACGTGGGGTCAAAAACATTTGTTTTCGAGGGGGATTTTTTTTTGTAGAAATGTCCAGCCTGGCAACCAGACTCATCTTACTGCCAAGACAGTCATAGCGGCGAGGTCATTGGAGTTCAATGTTTCCTCTATAATTCTTACCAACAGTGGGAAAAGATTGAGATGCTGGAATGAAATACCCGTAGTGGGTGATTGCATTATCACACATGGAGTATTGCAACAGATTTTTAAGAGCTTTGGGGATTCTTCAAAATGCAACCGACAGGGGACCCGAGTAGGCTCCTTGAGGAACGCCCTGGGCTCAATGATCGTCATTAGCTGTTTGTTTTTTCTGCCAAGGAACCCTTAAGTGCTTTCTTGGATGCCTTACAAAGTACTCCAATGAGCCTCTAGCTTTTAGCTTACACAAAGCTCAACTTAAAGTTATTTTTTTCGCATAAAGAATAACTTTTAATGCAGCCGGGCCATGCCCTGCTGGCGAGTCAAAACACAAGAAAAATATAAATGAATGTAGAGGAAACACTGAAGTTCAACACACACAAAGATTCAGCTCAGAGTATATAGTTGATACAGGTATTTATGTTCTCATGTCTGTACAGATCCTAGACTGCTTAAAATAGTGGGGCAACAAGACACAAATGTTTCACTGGTAGTTTATATGCACAGCAATGTGAGGTGCTGGGCTAGAGAAAGTCGAGATAGAAAAACGTAAACCCTGCATGCTAAGGAAACCCATTCATACACCTTTAAATGACAACATCGACAGAAAAGACTCTGATTGCCTTAATCATCTAAAAATCATCATTCATAAATAATTGTATAAATGTGCGTTAAAATAAAATGTTACAGAATGCTGTGTGGACTAATAACACAATCAGTGAAATTAGCAAACAACCTAAAAGCAACGTTACCTGTCATTCAACTTATTAGAATGCAATCTCATACTTATTTTATAACACGCAGCCATCTCATGTATGCATGATGCCCACTTTCTGTCTTAATAAATACCAGTTGGTGTGTGGAGAACACTTGTTTGCACATCCGCCTTATGATTATGTAGTTAAATATTTAATTTTCAACCAAAAGAAAGCACACAATTTGCCGTAACTGTTCCTTTTCTTTCTGATTAGAGCAGGTACTCAATCAAATCTTCAGCAGGTAATTGTAAAACCAATTAAGTGTATGAATGGATCTCCTAATGTGTTGGTTTTACTAGTTTCTACGGCGACAGGGCACAATCACACGAGCCGAAGCCCTCTAAAGTTACACCGGGCCGGGCTCGATCCACCACAGTACACACAATACTGGAATCCAGGATTCTGAAGAACATTCATTCTCGGTCGTTTGTCCATCGAAAGAAGAACGTTTTACAGTTAATATCTTTTCTTTTTGACTTAATGAAAGTATTTCCTGAATTACAACTGAACACCCACCCACAACCACCCCCCCAAACATCAACCAGAAATGGTGCCAACTCTTGTCGCACCTAAACTCCGATCCCCAAAACCTCAGGTCTGTAAATTAAAAAATAAATACAACATATCAATATGCAAGGATTTAAAAAAAAATTAAAATGCTACAAGTTAATTGTGTGTGTGTGTGTATTGAAAGTCACTCCTGCAGAGGATCCTACAGCACTGTAGGGTAATTTGCGGCACTGGTTGCATATAACTTGCTAGAACTTAGAAAAGCATAGTACTGAATCCCTGAATGGTGTTTGTTGGTTTGGGTCGGTTTCTCAAGCGCAGTTTAAACTCAAGCTTTGTCTTAACACTGGAGATGTTCCACCGTCTACCTACAGTATTGGGAACTTTGGCAGGTAACAGACCAACATTCGGAGGCTGTTTTTTTTTAAATCCACGTGGCTGCTGTAATACTGGTGAGTACTTTTTATACTTTTGGACACAAACTTGGGGGAAAAAAGGGTAATACTGGTGTTTTTTCCTCTGTGTTTGTGCTAGCTTGCATGTCCGTTTTAATAAGAAGGAAAGGTTTTACAATGCATTCAACTTCTTTGCCTTATTTAGCTTCCGTAATTCATCTCATATGGAAGGAAAGGGGAGTTAACATTCAGAAATAATCCCCCAAACAGGCTTTTTAAATGACTTCTATCCGAGGAACGTGGTTATGATTTTGGTTTATTTGCCACACTTCCTTCCCCAAATAAGGTGAGGTAGAGCAGAGGGTCTGCTGAGCTGATCCTTCCTGACTTTAAGCTTCATGAGGACCTCAGACAAATACTTTTTTCTTTAGCAGTTCATTAAAGCGGCAACAAAAGGAAGCAACATTGATGCAAATATCGTTATCGTGCTACAGTGGGCAAATAACAAGATGGCTTTAACTTCCTTCAGGTTTGCTGTGTTGTTGCAATAGTCTTTTATCTGATGATCATCAATTTCTGAACTTGTTTGCTAAGCTCTTATTTGCTCAAACACTACAGTACGGCGTTTGCTTGAAGATAAAGAAAGCATAATTATGAATCGGCCCTGAATGTGAAACAGTGCGGTAGTTTCCTTGCGTTTTTTGTGTGTTTCCAAACACTTGATTTTAAACTGTGTCCTGTGAAACCGTTCCCAAAGCTTGAGGAGAGACTGCAGGTCACCAGTGTTCAATTTCCCTCAGAAGAAATAAAGACTCAAAAATGTCACTGTGGCTTGCACAACTGTGACAGATACATCCGTTTTGCCTGACATCTACAAGAGTAACTAATATGGATACTTAGAAATGGCACCAGGATGAAAAGAGAGAAAGGGATTCCTCGTCTGACTGCGGTTAGCCGTGCGATCGTTTGGTTTAACACGATTGAAATGAGTTAAATTAAGCCCTGTGTGGGGAGAATAAAACTGCACCTAACTGGCAGTTAATGTCTACACATGATCACATAGTTAATTTGTGAAATCTGTTAACGTCTTACTTGACATAAAACACGCCAGCTAGTTTAGGGAACTAGTGAGAAAGACAGCATTAACGGAGAAAATAAAAAGTAGCTTTTTTGGCTTGCTTGTCGAGACAGACAACAAAGGGACAACAAATAAGTGTTTGGGTAACATTTGACAAACTTTCTCTTAGACTTAAATAAAAACAGGGAAGGGCAAGAACTAGTAAAATCTTACAGTTTCATATGTGGGATTAGTGTTTCAATTGAATTTGGACTGGTAATAAAGACACATTTTTGTGGCGTGAAAGCATTACAAGTGCCAAGTGAGAGGAAGCGGAAGAATCAGCGAGGGGGGGGAGGTGAGGTGAGGAGGAGCTGAGTACCAAAGATTCCTGAGGTGTATCAAAAGAGAGCAGAAAACTCTTGATAGTAATCCAAAAACAAATGAAAGATGTGTGCAATCAAATCAAAAGCAAACCGGCTCAGCTAAATACAGGTTGGATTATTCCAAATGAGGGCTGGGTACCCCTTCACTTCAAAATGTGATACCTCTCCTAAAATAGACAAGTCGGATGATCTATTTTATGTTAATCTGCACTTTCTAAAGATAGAATCAGCACATAAAGATGAGAATGACAAGCGTGTTCTACCGTCTGATTTGAGCTGTTACTTAATATCAAAGGTATCAGTAGTTGGTACCCAGCGCTAATCCAGAGAGATATAAACACGTATATATCCAGATCTCACTGCCAGAACTAGGACAGATATTATTACTCCGTAGACAGTTGACACGGCAAACCAAAACAAAAAATCACTTTAAACGACAACTTTATCATGGGATGGGGGTGTCATTTGTCTTTTTCCCATTATCATAAGAAATACAAAAGGTGTTTTTTTTCAGTCAGGATGGAGGAAACCTCAACGTGAGAGAGGGGAGGAAAAGGGGAGAAACACTTGGTGTGTATGGCCATGTGTATTGAGGTCTTGCTGACTACATTACCCATAAGTGAGGCTGACAGCAGACTCATGAAGGTTGTGGAGAACCGTGAATAGGGAGAGGGTTCAATTTAAACTGTGTCCATCTGAACTGAGGTATACCTGGTTGAAGGAGGTTTATGGTTTTGTTATCGTTGTAATGCTTGAGAATGGACCCCCCCTCCCCCGTTCCCCCTTTAAAATAAGCTCGATTACCAAGTTGTCTGGGTCCATAATACACTATGTACAGCAGCATTACACTATAAACATTCAGAAGCCGTTGCTTATTGGCAGAACGATAGTCGTTTCTTCAGAAAAACGCACACGAGAAAACAGCAAATGTATCCAGAGCCAGGTTTTTTCTTGTTTTTTCTTTTTTACACTAAAATGCACCGAGAGTTCTGTGAACTTTCCCCGCCGGATCTTCTCTCTCCGTAGAAAAACCGAGCAGAACGGGTCGCCCTCCTATGTGTGTGTGTATGTATATAAAAACAATACATGGTAGAAGTGTTCGTCGAGTGTCATCGTCCCAGCATGTCCGCACTCGGTGACGCCGTTTGTCCTCGTTATATATCCTGAATCGATTGCTCGGAGATGAGAGTTTCAACCGTTAAAATGTTTCAAATCCTCAGGCACACATATCAAAATGAGGTGGATATCAACTCATGTGGTGAGGTGGGCGCAAGGTGTTTCCTGAGCGCGAGTAGCGGCCCGCACTTAAAGGAAAAAAACGGAAAAAAGGAAAGAACAAAAAATCGTTACGCCAACCAACCAGGGTTGGCTGCTCTTCCCCTCGTGTCGATCCGTGTCTCTTCACGTCGATCATAAGCTGGACTCCTTGGGCGGGAGGTCCACGTTGGTCACCATGGTGACGACGGTGACGATCTCCTCGGGGCCGATGGCGGGCGCCTGGCGCTGCATCTGGCCGATGCGCTCCTCCACGCAGCCGGCCGACAGGCGAGCCTCCGCCTCGTGGTCCCAGCAGTCCTCGATGGTCTCACAGAGCATGGCCAGACCCTGGGAGAGAACAGATATTAATGTTACTGCAAAACATTTCTACTACATATTGCAAACTTTAATTCTTCATACTTATTTTGACATCCCTGGTGTCTTTATTGAGGATATATCTAATTACCAATATGGTTTAACAACTTCAAAGCGGAGACAATGTGTTTTCTTTGCTCACCGCGTGTTTCTGCCAGCAGTCTCTCAGGATGGGCCGCAGCTTCTTGTGAACGACGACGTCCTGCATGTCGTCCAGAGACGGATGCTGACCCACCTCCTCCTCGAACGGGAGCATGTACTCATCCACGGGGCCTGGAAACACACAACCACATGGTCATATTGTATATTCATCTGGAGTGAAATAACACAGCGTGCACTTATTAATGGCAGTGTTTTTCTGTCTCACCGTCGGCGGCGGTGCATCGCGAGGCGAGCTCCCAGAGGACGAGGCCAAAGGCGTACATGTCGATGCGCAGGAAGGAGTCGCGCTGGAAGTTGATGGCGCCCTCCAGGACCTCAGGAGCCATGTAGCGCCGCGTCCCCACCTGAATCAAATAGAAATCACAATGTAGTTATACAGCCCAAAATCACAAAACACATTTGTCTGTATATTAAAAAAACAGAGAACAATTAAGTTTACAAAATGGTAATGTCAAATATAAATAATAAATACATATTTTTTATTTTAATAAATAAATAAAAAATAAAAATCTATAAAATCAATAAATAAATTGAAATATACATTAAAATACAAAATTGAAAGAAACATATAAATAAAATAAATAATATATATACTAAAATAAAAAAATATATATATATAAGACCCAGGAGAATGTTCCTACAACTACAGGTTCAGATCGAACAGCTCAAGAGGTCAGAATTGAACTGGATATCAAGCATGAGCAGCGAGGAAGAATAAAACCATGACACAGCACAAAGAGGGCCTGAAACGGCGAAAATTGATGCTCGTAACAAAGCTTTTTGCTTATCTGGCAGAAACACAAATCTACGTGTCATACGTCTGTAAGAGGATCCGGTTTGACACAGAACAGATAGAGAGAAAAGGCAGCTTTGTCTTTTCTGTTCTTACACTGCAGTGTAACTTTTATTATTTTACTTTACACCTGCTTGTTGAACTGTACCTGTCCATGTGTGTCTCCGGCTGATTTCCCTGCTTCAAACTGCAGGGCGAGGCCAAAGTCAGCTATGCAGGCCGTCAGGTTGCTCTTCAGCAGCACATTCTTACTCTTAATGTCCCTGAGAGACAAACAAGAAACCACATTCAGTCCAACAAAACTCACGGGGCCAGTCACAATGATACGTCTGCTTTTATATGAGATATTTGGGCAGCGCACCTGTGGGCGATGGAGGGCTTGTGTCCGTCCTTGTGTCCCGGGATGTCTTCGTGCAGGTAGGCCAGGCCGCGGGCCGTCGTCTGAGTGATGTGGCACAGCTCGTTCCACGACACCACGTTGGCCTTCAGGAAGTCCGTCATGGAGCCCTGGGGAGGGAGAGGAGGAGGAAAGATTAAGTCATTTCATTTATCTATCAGACCTATGTGATGTACAGGTATTTGTTTTTCCACTCGTCTCCTGCTGAGACCTGGCAACTTTCCTCGTGGGAGACAATACACAGAGGCTTTTTTTTTTTTTTTTTTTTCACCATGCATGCATGATGTTCTGTGAAAAGCATGTCCTGGGCTCTCTAGGGAATGAACTCACATGGGGATGTGTCTTTTGAAATAGTGGGAATTGCACATTTATTGTCTGACAGGCGAACTGAGCAAATGTACAAATATATATTGTTACTGGTCTTTATAAGGATGCTGTTTGATAAGCATATGATCATTTAAAGTCTTAAAATTGATCAAAGTTATAAAGATTTCTATCTATTTGATTCTATATAGATTCTATTGTGAGTATAAACTAATCCATTTTAAATTCTTCGAAGTATATGATAACTTTTGAGCCACTCAAAGTACACATTATATATTTCCTTAGGTGTGGCCAGTTGCAATTGCTTATTTTTATTTTCATCCATTTTTCAGGAAACAAATTGCTAAGGGAGGGAAAATATACTTTGTCAAAATATAATATATAATATGAATTATTTACGGAGTATCAACATTGAGCACTCAGGAGACGAGGAAGGAGTGAGGCAGACAATAAAGCAGGTTTTTTTTTTTTATGGGAATGTATTTCTAATATTCATCTAATGAGATAAAAATAAAGATTATTGAGAAAAAAATCTTTATGATATGTTTCTGAAATCCCAATGTGTGTGTGATATGTGTGATAAAAAAAATCATTAAAATACTCAAATCTTTTCTCCCAGGTCTCAAGAGGATATAGAAACATGGGTGACGTCAGGGAAACGATAAAATCAAATGACTGCAGGGATATAAAATGCTAAATAATAGTATAGTAATGGCCAGAGCAGGTTTCCATGGTAACAGCAATATCCCTAATGGCCGGAAAGTCACTCTGGCTTGTGGCTAGTATTGAATTTCACCAATAAAACCAATTCTTTACAACATCAGCTGAATGGCTCTTTCGGTAAAAGACATTTTGTTAGATATTCAATACTGTAACTGTACAGATGTTTATCACAGAGAGAAAAAAAAAAGGGATAGATTTATGGAGCTTCATATTTCAATGAAGGGTGATAAATAACACGACCCACTGGGTGTCCTTTTAGAGCCACAGTGAAGTCCTCTGGCCAACTCCCTGCTCATAGATTGTTCTGGTGAATAATGGCGCTGTGATAAATGCGGCTCATTTATCTCCTTGATATTTGTTCTTTATTCTGTCTTTATCAAGGGAAGGTTTGCTAGGATTTTATCAGCAAGGATATACTTAAATATCCGCTTCTTATATCGTACTATTGAGACACATTTTCATCGTGGCAAATGCCTCTTAGTCACATTTGAAAATGTATATTAAATATTGCTGTATAGAAATCTAATTCGCTCCCAAAGAAGGATTATAATGCTGAGAGTTACATGTTCAAGCTGCACCCGTTTCATTTCTTATCCTTTATACATGTTCTGTCTTACATAATGTATGTTCATTTCACACAAGGTCACTCATGAAAGCAGGTGCAGCTGCAGGAGTCACCACTAGAGGGCAGGCAGCTCCAACACATGTGGAAATGTTTCCATCTGATCACTTCTGTAGCCTTTTTGAAGGTAAATGTTTCCCAGTGTTACCTGGGGTTGTTCATTACTTCCAATGCCGTTCAATTATAAAAAATAAAGTGACCAATTAGAAAATCTCCCTTTAAAAGACAACAATTGTTTGAGACCAGCTCCCAGTTTGTGTTCAGGAGGCAGACAACTTTTCCATATTTAAGTAGGCTTAATACCTTTTCTGTTTTCTTTTTTAAATACATCTTATAGTTAAGGCGCTTGGATCCATCTTATTTAATTTAGTAAACATTCACATGATCATTTTTGTCATTTGGATTGTCTATTGTTCATATTTTCTTTCCGTAAAGCCCCAAACACAAGTGTATTTTTGTCATAATGTGCCATATAAATACAATTTGATTTGATTTGATCTAAGATAGGAGATTTTGGGAGAGTCATGCATCCTTTAAAGCAAGCTCCTGCATGTAAAGGAAACTCAAACCTCGACATAAAACCTCTCAAAACCCCCGAACATGGAGACATAAATCAGCTGTCAAGGACACTGAACTCTGCAATCAGTGTTCCAGCTGTGTTGCACAAGTTTCAGCTCAAACGGACAAAAAATCGGCAGGAAGGACAGGCTTTTTGTACGTTAATATTTAAGTTATGTGTCCTCCAAAGCCTTCTGTTTTCTAAATAATTACAGTGGATGCTTGACAAGGCACCGAAATGTTGTTCTGATATATTGCTGACCTTCTTCTAGAACTCCTTTAAACCACATTTGTGGATAACTAAGAGTCGCCACACCCACAACCTTTAATTTTTCAATCTTTATTCACGCAGGGAAAGTCTTTTTAAGCTCAGTGATTTAAATTCTTGGCCCTGGCTGGGAAACTCAAGCAAGCGAAGCGTACGAGAGAATCCCTCTCCACTTCCTCTTTAATGACCCCTCAAAACACAGAGGCACTTAAAAGCCCAAATGCTACAAAGAGCCCAACGCGGCTTACAAAAACCCACCTTCTCTGGATAAACAGGGCTTATAAAAAGAGAAAGAAACGGCAGGAAGTATATAGTAATTATGGATTAGCTCCTAAGGCTGCTAACAGAATCAATACAATGTGCAGGCTTCATGCATGTTTTCCCCCTCTACCAGTGTTTACAACGTTATCAGCTGCCTGTGCTCGGGCTGCCAGACGATAGGCTACGACGGATATATAACTGTGTTTACATGGACACAAACACATTTGTTTACTTGTGCAGGAGTAAACCAGAACACACGCCGGTCAGAGTCTTCAGCGGCATATTTATGAAAAAGGAAGGTCTATGTTTATTATTTAGTCTTGGTTGCATATTAAATTGAATTATTTTGAATGCAACGATGCACCACTAAAAGCTTTTTCACCCCTCTGCGACTTTGTTAAAGCAATACATTCCCTAATGTGTTTGAATTGTTTAAGTAAAGCTAGTTTATGTGTTAAAATATCATAATTTGTTTTTATATTTCCAGTGGATTTGCTTAGATTAGATTGAAGTCAATCCTAAAATGAAATATGGAGATTAATCCCAGATCAAATCTACCTACTGGTCCGTGAGTATATTGGTAAAATGTCACATTTGAAATAAATAAATAAATGTAAGTTTCCCGCACTCTCGCAGGAATATCTCCGCAATGGAGCGAGCTTAAGTTTCACTTTCGATTGCATGATATAGCGCAACACCTTCGTCACACATGTTGCCACTTGTTTGTACCATTTTCAGGCGATTTGTAATCTGTTCTAGAAAAACGATGTGATTTGGGATATTTGTGGAGTTAGGTGGTCCGCAAGTGTTCTTTTATTGGTTAAGTGGTCCTTGGTATGAAAAGGTTTGAGAAACACTGGTCTACAGTGATTGTAATGTTATGTTAAATGTCTGTTTCCTTGTTTCTTGTCTTAAATATATGCGTTTGTTGGTGTTGCAAAGGGCAAATGGAACATTTCTGTCTTATCGTACTGTAAAAAGAGTGCTTAAAACTTCTCTTGCACATAATCAATATAAAAAAAGTCATCAATTAACCGTGTTACATTTCAAAAGAGACAGCATGTATTGCTTTGCTATTAAACTGGATAACAAAAATTAATTCAGCATGTTATTTCCTGCGTCGTGTACGGCCACTTCGTCTCCTGTGCTTGCAAAAAGTCTGCAGCTCAAAAACGTATAAAACAGAAAATGACTCAATAAAAAATAAAGAATCACTTTAAAGGTGTTGGAGCTCTGTCACGGACTGCATACCTTATCGTGGTAGGAGGTGATGAGCCACAGCTCCAGGTCCAGGTTATTGTTCCTCTTCTCCGCTCCGATGAAATGGAGGATGTTGTCGTGCTTCATGCCGCTCAGGCTGAAGATCTCGTACTCGTTCTGCCACGAGAGCTTGTCCTACAGCGGGGAGACACGCGCAGATGTTATTTCTGTCATCAATAGTTAAGGAAAGAATCAAATATGAATCGTACAAGACAAGTAAGGTGGCGAGAAGCAGAGGTAGAAATTATTCATAAAGGTCACGAATATGTCCACAGTTACATTTTATATCAGCGATTTATTGTTTTTTAATTTTGTATTATGAGCTTCCTGTTTCTTTTCATCGTCTACACGCGTCTCCAAAGGGGCTTGAAGCCTTAATCTGAACATATTGTGTTTTCAATTTAGTATGATATTTGTATTAATATTAATTTACATTTATTAGTTTGATTATTAATTTGGCAGATTTTTTAAACATGTATTTATAAGCAAACAATACGTTTCTTTAATTCTCTGTAAAGAAATAAGTTTGTGTTTTGTACAAAGAAATTACAATAAGAAAAATAAATACAAAATAAATCAACCAAAACATAAATATCCAGTATCTTATACCTGAATGGGGAAGATTTTAACGGCCACAAAATCGTTGAGGAGCTGGGCCTTCCACACACACCCATAGCGCCCCCTGGCTTTCACCTCGATCAGCTGCAGCGGCTTGTGTCCCAGGATGGGGGACGGGGGTGAGGGTCCGGGGTCCTTTAGAGAGAGGGCAGAGAAAAAAGACAGAACACAGTGTTATTCCTTATTCTTGTCATCATCCCTAATCGTGAAGCCCTTATCTTGACACCTTGAATCACAACGTTAAGAATATAATTTGATGTGATAATGCACTTTTTTAATAGCCCATTTCTTCTTTTTTTTTTATGTTGTGATGCCTGGTTGCCTTTTTGCTTTATTTTTTATGGTTAAATGACTTTTGAAATTCTGCTTCAGGAAGCGCTGAATGTATATCTTCAGTATTGTTATAACTGTTTTTTGGCAGTTAGGACACAGCGTATGTAGCAGGTTTAATTCGTTTTAAATTAAATTAAAACCCCTCAGGGCTGTATCAGCATGAGTTTACAGAAGCGGGATTGTAAGTGGAAGCTGGAAAAGTGGGCAAGTCACCTCAAGATCTTAACATGAATGAATATGAAGCAGGTTGATTTGAAAATGGGTTGAAAATAAAAACACAGAGGGGGTGAATCATCATGCGTGCGCTGAGCGTTCATGCTAATCCCGTTTAAACAAAAGTGAAAGCAAGTGTTCCAAATGTAAAGTGGGTTAAACACAGCTGGTGATCGGGGTTAAGCTGATCACTTTTACATGTGACTCCACAGGAAGGACAAGAGTGCGAGCGAGGAGAGAGGTTCAAAAGAAGCATGCAGTACGGGAGTCACATTTCCAAAAGGATAAAAGTTAGAGGAGAGAGACCATGACTGATGGCCTTTGAAGCAACCCGATATGCTCCTGTAAAAAATCTCGTCTTCAAATCCACGCCGTTGTATCGCTGTTGTCGGGAAGAAATCTTTCCCCCCCTTGCTCATGTTTTTACTTGAACTGAAGGTGCTTGATAAGCTGGAGCAAGTTACCAGACCCCGAGGCCCACAGGATCCATTCAAACAGCGTGACGATATTTCACAAGAACTTGTCAATCTCACGTCCAATAAAATGCCCCCTTTCGGGTTAAAGGTTTAATCCAACACACAGAGATGAGCTCTCTTTTGAGGAAAAGAGTTGCAGCACGCTCCGTTTGATTTACTGTCGAGGATTTGGCACCGACCCACTCTAAACACTGGTGATATGCAAATAATTTGAAACCGCCTGTCCTGACAAGACTATTGTGGCACCAGAAACAAACTGTGTGTCATTTAGTAGCATTTATAGCTTTGATTTGATCCATTTCAAATTGTGTGTGGTTATGAACCAAGTGACCTTTAGTTCACACACAAAGAAGGTACTTCCTTTTTGAAAGATAAGAGAAAAGTGTCTTGCCATTTTATACCTAAAGAATCCCTTTGCAGATTATTCAGTTTAATAGGTTCTTATTCATGCCTACTGGATTTGGATGTTTAAGTATTGGAAATATAAAATAAAAACACTAGTTTGGCATTTAATCCTGGAGAAGTTAAGATTGTGTGGACTGCCCTGATACATTAGGCGCTTTCACACCGGAGTACTTTTCCCAGTATAGTTCAGAAAATGTGCGTTCACACCCAAAATCCGGAACTAGAATTTAGTTCAGGAGAACCTTTACACCCCCTTTTCAGTCCCTGCTAGAGAGCAGGTACTTTCCTGGGAGAAAAAGGTTCCCATTTCTGATTGGCTGGGCGGATTGCAAACCACGCCCCGTAAAACTCCCAAAAGGTTTTGTGAAGCCGCCATTTTATTTGCTCGCATTAGCATTATTAGCATTAGCATTAGCCCCGCGCACCAACGGAGAGAGACTAACTTATGGCAACACAAAATAAAACGTGGGAGCGGTGGAGATGAGGAGGTGTCGGCGTTCTGGCGATTTACTCGGAAGGCTTCAGAAGCTGCTGGGAGTCCCAGCAGCTTCTACTGAAGCCAGTCCCCAACTCCGGGGACTTCCGGTGGCAGTATACGCCGTGAAGTTGTTTGCGGCCTGCCAGTAAACCCAAAGCAGAAGAAGAGGAAGTGACGTCAGCGGCTTCATTTGCCTAATCCTCCCTCAGGGACTTATTCCGGTGTGAACGCGATCTGCTCTTTAGTTCATCAGAACTAAAGAGTTCTGATGAACTAAGTTCTCATGAACTAAGTACGGCAAAGTACTTGGTGTGAAAGCGCCTAATGTATGTTAAATAAGTAACAAGATTTTAGTTAAATTAGCATTGCTGTAGAATAAGTCTAGCAAAACCTAATGTATATAGTTTTTTTACTCATGAAATGACCAAATTACTCCAAATGAGTGACAAAGTTTAATCCAGGAGTGGAGTTTGTACTACTATCCGTGCAGCTGCAGATAAACAAGTAGCTTAGTAAAAATAAAGGAAAACTCTTTTTTTGTTCGTGGAAACATGCAGCAGGGTGTCTTCCACTGCCTTCCAGTTGAAGGGGGAAAGGAGGATTGGAGTGTGTATTTAAAGTCTTCCCCTCCTCTGACACAGAGCTGCGAGGCAGACCTGCTGTCTGTACGCTCTGCTCTCACACTAAACGCCGGCCAAATGACGGGGGGAAATTACCCACAATGCTGCAGCTGAGGTTGGATTACAGAGCGGCACAAACGGTCCCAAGTTGCCACCCTTAAAAAACATCTTCCAGAACACAAAGTACCAACTGAATAAGGAATCTATCTGTTCTCAATGTTGTTTAGTAAGCATGAAAATACACTCTTTGGAGGTATCCCTGAGGTGGAGTTGAATAAAAACATACAGGTGTCTTCCATCCTAAAAGCAAACAGCTAGAAGATAATGAAGTAATGATCAGAAAATGTGATGCATTTACATTTCACTGACTTCATTTTACCACAAAGTTAGCTTCGAGTTTAGCTAGTGACTCGTACTAATTTATGCACAAGTCCAAGGCAGTAATTTCCGACATTTTGTGTAAACATACTTGGAAACCATGTCATGTATCAGCACTGTTTGAGCTTTAAGAATAATTGAGACTAAATGGACTTAAGATAGATAAAATAACATAGAAATTATTGGTGGTTTGAAAGTTTGAAGGGTATATCTATGATTAGAAACAAGCTCATATGAACTGTAGATGCAAGACTTTAAGTGAAAGTCACTCCAACGACAAGAATATAACAGTAGAATTGTCCAAATATAAGGTTTGTAATATTGTAAAGACTATAATAATTATATTTATATTGGTCCCTCTATCTTCCTGTTTGTGTTTTATATATGTTGCATGATCCATTTAAGAGATCCCAATATCAGAAAGATAATTTGCACAATAAATATAAATTATTGGTGTGTTAATGGGGTTGTTATCCAACACTTTTATCCTGTTTTCCAGCCACCAGCAACAAATCCAACTGTTAGCCCAACAGTAGGAAACTGTGAGCCGACAACAGAGATAAAAAGGGAGCGAATATTCTGTCCCAAGAGCAATTAAATAACAGGAAAGTGCGAGGGAAAGCAGAACCAGAAGGGTACACCTGCTGTGATACTGTCAGGGAAAATGACTCCCTTTGCCATCACTGTTCCATGGGCAGAAAATGTAACAAAACATTCTTCTGAGTCTAAGGCGGTTATTATTCTGATCAGGATTTAGTGGAGAAAATTAGAGTTTTATCCAAGGACTGTGTCTTTTCAGCCAATACAAGAAGTGCTTGCTGTTCTGTAGCAATTTATTACATTTCCATTCAAATGCCTGCATGTTTATCGAGCTAAGTAATTAAAAGTGTTTCAAATTCTGATCATGATTTGGATGGGAAAAAGATCATTGGAGTTGTTTTATAATGCAAGTCATAGATGAGTCTGAAACAGAGAAAAGCTCCAGTCCTGTAATCAGGGTATCTTCATGAATGATATAATAAAAGATCCTCAGGTGGATTATTAACGTTACAGGTTGTTAGTAAGTTGGAGAACTGTTAAAAAGGCATTAATTCCAGTCTTAAAATAGCTAAATAAATGTCTGTATTTGGGGTTAAAGTCATTCTGATACTGGTGACGATGTGGTTAATAAATCAGCAATTCTTGCACCGTCTTATCTTTCCCACAGAATCACCAGTATGTCTGCACAAATGTCACAAAGACAAATTCCTGTGCATCCATTGTGCGCGGCACAAATATGTGGCAGTGCGTCCGATCGTGATGCGAATGAGTAAATGACGATAGACGTGCTCCACATGCCGGTATTGCCTAATGGTACAATGCAAGTCATCGTTAGACATAAAGCCAGGGGAGGATTCCTGCACATGCCGGGCAACCGAGATGTGATTTTGATGACGGATCTGATGGTGATGGCTTGATCCTGAACACCAGCAGGGCTTCATGTTACAATGTCATCCACATGGTGACAACTTCCTGGCATTTCAGATGATCCTGATGAGGTTGAAAAGCGAGTTATCGCAGGACTCTTTGTATTGTTTCTGGAAACCCTCCGTCTGTCTTCCGGGGCTTTTCGGCCTGACGAGGCGGCCCCTCCCCCCCGGGAGTCACCGGATACCGTGTCCGATCACCGTGGCCTCCGACGGGGGCGTATTACACTGAGTCAGCAGACCGCAGGAAACAGGAAGACAGAATCTGCTGCTTCACGCCGTTCTTCCCAACCCTCAACCATCTCCCATGGCCTAATCGGATTACACCTTCATCTGTTACATCACAACTGATCCGTGAGGCCTGGTTTGGTTTGGTTTGTCCAGGGTTTAGGTGGAGTGAATCAAAATGCTAAGTTTGAGTTTTAGAAATACGTAGAAGCTTTCCTCCAAAACTCATACCTTAAGGTCATGTTGTGTTGTTGATGTGCACTTGAGGTAATATCAAAAGTTGTTGACATGACCTTAAACAGAGTGCAGCTGGAAGGCTCACAATAAGCCTGGATCTGAACTCTGACAGCATGACTGACTTTTATTTAGTGAGCTGCCTATTATATATTTATTTTTAAATGTTCTGTGAGCCATACTGCTACTCCAGAAGGATAGAATTTGAGCCAAAGTACATTTGCAGAGGCTTACGCTCCTCTTGTACTTAAGTAATTTACACTCTGTGCCTTGAAAATGTTTCCAGGTAAGTGGCAATTCTCCT